AACCCTAGAATTAAAACTACTCACATATATTTAAATCTAAACTAAAAAAAGCAATTAAAACAAGACATAATTAATCAAAGCAATTAAATTACTGAAAATAAAAGGGGAAGAAATCGTTACCAAAATAAACGGAAATGATGAATTGTATAAATCAAAAGTGTAGAAAGAAAACAAGAATATTCACCAAAGCTTAAAGCTAAAATCTAGAAATTAACTAATGAGGAGAACCGTAATCGTCACTTGCTAAAAATGTAGTTATACTTCAACTTAAAAATCCTAAATAAATAAATAAAAAAATAAAAAAAACAAAGTAAATTGCCGAAATTCCTCTTAGAAACACGTGCCCGGCCGGGCGGAGCTTCGCTCGGCCGGGCCCACCTTTTTGCTGGTATCTTCTTCACTCGCGCCCAGTCGGGCGCGAGACAGGGCGAGGGCTGCTTTTCTTCTATGTGCCTCGCTCGACTGGGCGCGCCTCAAGGTGAGGGCTTACCCGGTCGGGCGAGCATCCGAGCAACTAAGAATTCTTCAATTGGGCTATTTCTTGGCCCAATCTGGATTTCCTCTTTGGGTCCTTAACACTTGGTCCATTGCCTTGGTATTTTCTCAATCGTCGAGCCCTTAATCACCGGTTTGATTGCTCCAACGCGGTCTTGTGCTACGGAATACGGTCATAATAATGCGATCCCACTCCAATGCTCGTAGTGGCTCAAATAAGTCCAGGAAAATGCTTCAAATCTGCAATTTCCTATAAAACAATACCAAAACTACGAAAACACTAGAAAACACATATTAGTAATAAAAGTAGCTCCAAAGAGCCAATAATACTCTTAAATATGACCAAGGGACGGGGGTAAATCTCTATATAAAATGAACATATCAATCACTCCACCACTCTTCTCGTGCATACCTAGGATCTCATTAAAGTCCCTGAAACATAACATGGAAATGGAGCTATTAGCTTTCAAATTCCTCAATAAATCCCAGGTTTTATATTTATTCGCGGCTTCGAGCCATCCATACACACCAACAGCTTTCCATAACGGATTATTATTAGCATCACAAACATTAGCCTCAACATGATGATTGGAAAAACAACAAATGCTAACATTAATATCTTTCCACCACAAACCTAACCCACCTGACCTCCCTTCACTATAAAGACAAACACCATTTGTATAACCACACCTATTTCGAATTAACTCTAATCTGATTATTACAAGTTATTATTAATTTGATTATCATTATTTTCTTAATTTCGTATTTCATATCATTGTTTTTATTATGCTTTATTTAATTGCTTTGATTAGTTTAGTTTTAATCATGCACGAGTAGTTTAATTATAGGGTTCTTGGGGATCCATGAATAATATAAAAGGGATGATTTATTATTGTTGATTGTTGGTGTTTTGAATTAATTTCCTATTGATTGATATAATGCTATGCAATTAGATTAGCGCTGGTTTAGTTGTATGAGTTATGCAATATTGGTTTGATATTCGACAGATGAGAATTGATGTTTAGGCTTAGTTTCAATAGGCTGGTTAATTTATAAATGGTTAAGTCAAAATTCGAGAGATGCGATTTAATACCACTAGATTAATTATGTGATTATAATAGGTAGTGAAAGCCCTTTATAATCTGGTTAATTTATGCATTGATAATTGATTGTTGTCTTCCATCCCGGAGTATTATTTATTGGTGAACCTATACCCTAGGCTTTTATTTTATTGATATTATTTTAATCTTATTTGCTTAGTTTTATTATTTCCCTTAGATTGATTCTCATAAACTCATACTTGTTACTTGATAATTTAGATTATAAAAATTAATTAGGAGTTAAAGAACATTGGTTTCCTATGGATTCGACCCTACTTCCCTATCTATTTTAGTTAGTGGTTTTAGTAATTACCTTTTGATTAGGTTATCCTGTCACCAACCTCAACTAGTCAACTGCTTAGGTAAGTTAAATTGAATGTCATTGAACTGAATTGAGACTACTTCTTCAAAACCCTTGTTCTAACTGTTTTGGGGTTTTTTAAGTATCCTGCGGGAGAGTCACAACACCAAGACTGACCTCCGGACGCCTGTACCTGCAAAACAACGGAGACTCCCATGGGTGAGAGTTCCGCCTCCGAGGATCAAGTTAGAACGTGTACGTATATAATAAGTGTGGAATGTAAATGGGATTAGGCTCCTCTTAGGAGAGGAGTGATCATCCGGCTGTCTGAGACAACTTCAATATCTGAGCTTTTAGCTCTCTGATTTGTGAGGATCGAATGTGTATTCCATTGAATCTCTCCTTTAACTGATGTAAATGATCAATATTTATAGAGTCTTTGGGACAGATGCCTCTTAGGTTATTTAACCTAATTTGATGGGCTTCCTCCGTTTTACGGTTTCTAGGGTTATGGGCTTAAAGCCCGTTTTCCCCTTTGAATGACACGTGTCATGCTCTAATTGGCTCATTGAGCGCTGAGTTTAGGGACACGTGTTACATTAGCATAGGTCCATTTGTCAGGGGTGTTTTTACCCCAAACACTAACCTTTTGTAATCACTACTTCTCTAAAAATTGATATCTTCTCTCTAAAATTGCATGATTTCACACCATAATTGCTAAATAAATTGTTGAATTTATACTTTGAACTATATAACTTCATATAATCCATAAACAAAAATTCATTAAAGGACATTCTAATGTCAACTTAATTAAAGCAAACCATATAAACCATCTAAAGATAACAGAAATAGTTGAACATTATAATTGGGATGATTGAAAGCATACAATGCTAACAATGCTAGATTCAAACCCATAACCTCCTCTACATAAAGGTAATACATTTACCATTTCAACAACTTTTATTTATGTTTTAAATTCTGAACTACTATTCGTCGTTCGCAAATTACTGGGTGACGTTCACATTTTTAATTGAAATGACATTTTTGCCCTTGTGGGGTATTTTATCTATTTAAGGGTCCACCATGGGTAAATTTAGTTACCGAAAACATTAAAAACATTACCGAGCCTACCACTTGTGTTAAAAAAATCCCGAGCATTAAAAAATCCCGGTTCCACCATTGTACGGTAATCCCGAGGAATTTAAAAATCCCGGGGCAGAAAAGGAAAGTGTACGGAATGGTGTTTTACGATGGACGACGACAACGTTCACACGCCGGAGGGTTCGACGGAAGAATCTATAAGTATTTCGGATTTTTTTTTTTTTTGTAAATATGACATCCGCCCTATTTTTCCGGAAATCTGGGGGAGATCCGCCCAAAATTTCCGGATGTCCACCAGTACATCCGGAAATTTCATCCGGATGTGTACATCCGCCTGAAATTTCCGGATGTAATTGGGGACATCCGGAAAATTGGGCGGATCCCCACTCATACTTCCGGAAAAAAAGGGCGGATGTCTTTTTTTTGTTGTTGTTTTTTTTTTACGTAATTGTTATTGTTATTATTATTATTATTATTATTATTATTATTATTATGGTTATTAATATTAGTTTTGTTAATTTTGTAAATTTTTATTATGATTATGATTATTATTAATATTATTACTACTATTATTATTGCTATTGTTGTTATTATTATTATATTAGTTATTATTTGTTAATGTTACGTAGTTATTGGTGTTATTATTATTATTATTATTGTTATTGTTATTATTATTATCATTAGTATTACTATTGTTATTATTATTATCATTAGTATTATTATTGTTATTGTTATTGTATTTTTTTTTGAAGCCTTGTTATTGTTTTTTTTATTGTTATTATAATTATTATTAGTATTATTAATATTAATATTATTATTGTTATTATTGTTATTTTTATTATTATTATGATTATTTGTATTATTATTGTTATTATTATTGTTAAATTTAAAATACTAATCCTTGCGTGTTTTATTTGTTTGTGTTGTTATTTTGATAGGATTCGGAGGATGAAGACGACGGTGATGTTGTGAATTACAGTGCACATTTTGTGATAGACACGGTTTTTTTAACGTTTGACGATGCAGTTACATGGGCGGATGCTGTTGCAATAAATCTGGGATTTATTTTGGTGAAATCGTCTTTCAACAAACAGAGGGATGGTCGACCAGTTCGATATTTAAGATGTTATCGGGGACGCAGGAGTAAGCCGAGAGATCTTGAGAACGCAATTCGGAAGGACACCAAAACCAAGGGCATTGGTTGTCCTTTCTACATCAAGATATGTTACGAGTTTGTCACCAATACTTGGTTTATCCGGGCGAAAGATGATGTAACTGGGACCCACAACCATCCAATGATTGCGTATCCAGAGGGTCATCGTAAAATTAGTGGGTTGAGCCCGAATGCGAAGCAGGTTGTGCGTGACATGACGAAGTCTAAGGTTGCACCGCGTAACATCATGGCGACTATTGCGGAGCAATTTCCTGATGATCATCCAAACATCAGACACATCTACAACTGCCGGAATGACTTCAGAGAGGAGATGTCTGATGGGAGAGGAGTTGTTCAGCAATTTCTACATTTGGCAAGACAGAGTCAGTATGTTTACTAGGTCATGTCTGATGATGAAGGCGTTTTACAGCACGCCTTTATGGCGCATCCAGTCATGGTAGACATCCTACGGACGTACCCCTATGTGATCGGTATGGATTCCACTTACAAGACTAACCGATACGGGATGCCGTTCTTTGAGATAGTTAGCGTGACACCGACAAATCAGAATTTTCTTGTCGCTTACGTGTTCATGCGCAACGAGAGCATGGCAAGCTATCGATGGGTTTTGCAGAGGTTGAGAGACGTGATTGGGTATGATAAGGAGCCGTCGGTTTTCTTGACAGACCGTTAGCTTGGGCTATGTGCTGCTTTGAGGGAAGTGTTTCCAGGAACCTCGCACTTACTTTGTCGATGGCACATTAACAAAGATGTAGAGGCTTGGGTCACTGCTATGTTCAAAAGCAAGAAAATCGGTGCGTCTTTCAAAAACGGAAAATGGAAACGTATCATGGACGCTGCAACCGAGGAAGATTATGAGGCCGCTGTAGAAAACATGAAAGATAAGTGGGCAAGTTTTCCAGCAGTGATACAATATGTAGAGAACACATGGATTTGTCATAAAACGAAGTTTGTGACATTTTGGACAAACCAAGTTCTACATTATGGCAACACCAGCACTTGCAGAGTTGAGAGCCAACATTCGGCCGTGAAGATGTGGTTTGATTCCTCGACAGGTTTGGTGTTTGCTTATTGTACTTCATGTATGTACTTTTATTTAGGAATTTCAGTTACAAATCATAACGGCTTTTCTTTGTAATGTGCAGGTTCTTTGGATACCGTATGGGCTCGAGTTCATAGCCACATTGGTAATCAAATCATCGCAATTCGTAATGGTTTGGAGGCTTCTAGGTCGAAGATAGGTCAAAAGTACCGACAGTTGCCACTGTCACGTATAAACGGGAAGGTGTCTCAGCATTGTTTGAAGGTTCTCGATGAGGGGACAAGGAGGATGAGGGAGCTGAGTTATCAAGTGCACGAACGATGTGGATGTGCAATGCGTGTGACCCACGGGTTGCCCTGTGCATGCCAAATACATGATTCGCTAGCTGCTGGGACAGGATTGTACATAATGCAAATTCACCCTTTTTGGAGGACCTTGGTTATTGGTTCTGGAGATGTTGGGACGGTGCCTGGCAATGACTCGACCGAGGATGCCTCACATTATCGTTCTCTGATGGAGGAGGTGTTCGATAGTGATCTTGCTGTTCTTCGAAACGTGTCTCGCATCATTGAAGAGGAGCTGCATCTGGATCATTCTGATCTCAGAGAGCCTGCTGTAAACCACCGGGTTCGTGGTCGACCAAGAAACAAGGATACAAGACGTGATCGTTCTTATTTTGAACATGTAAACCGCCAACACACTGAACGCGGCGCACGATAAACAGGTACGATTGAGTGTTGTATTTTTCACATAAATCAGCGTTCACTAAACTATTAACTGAAACCTACATTTGTGCAGGAGATGTAAACGACATTAGCCAAAGCCGTTATCGACACGCGCTTCCAGGGCCGATGTTGCCTTACATCACAGGATGGAAGGATGTCATTGGCGATGGGAACTGTGGGTTTCGTTGTGTGGCCGAGTTCTTCTTCGGTGATCAAGGTCGATGGTATGACGCTCGAGAGACAATAGCGAATGAGGTCCTCGGTTATCGATCCCTATATGAGAGGATTTATGGGCTTGGAAGACTTGAGATCAATGTGCAGCGTATTCGATGGGACGGTGGGGCGGTTGATTCCCGTCATTGGATGGTTGCAATACAAGATTTATTTCCTATTGCGACTTGGTTCAACGCAACGGTTGTTATTCTTGGTGTAGGCCAAACACCAACTTGCTACTACCCATGCCTCACGATATTGCCGTTGCGGGCAAGAAGGGGGGTCACAGCACCGGAGCGAGAGTTTGTCATCGCTACAGTTGGGGGCTCACATTTTATTTGTATTGAACTTGCACCAGATTCGCCACTTCCCCCGGTTGCAGGTTGGTGGACCGAGCACCACGACCCAAGTGTTGACGGTTGGGATCAATGTTACGAAGCTAGAAGGAACATGTGGGATGCCTTAATTAGATAGTGAACATGTTGTTGTACTTTCATTTATGTTAAACAGTTGTCGTTATGTAATTTGCAACGAATTGAACTTAATTAAACAAAATTTCTACAAAACCACCAAAACAGTTGTCAATACTTAAAGTACATGACGAATAAATAGTACATAAACGAAATGCGTACAAGGGAAATAAAAATAAAAAACAGGAAGTTCACAACCCCATCATCGCCCTCCAATCAGCTCGTAGCGCCTCAGCCATTGCTCTTGTATCACGCGATAGGCTCGGATACTCCTCCAGGGTCCTTTTGATGACCTCCATAGACCGACCCATCCACTTCAATAAAAAAACAACATATTAAATAAATCACAAGTTTTTTTTTTTTAAAAAACAACATATTAAAAACAACATATCAAAAAAACAACATAAAAAAACAACATATTAAAATAACAACTTATTAAATTATACCAAAAAATACAACTACTTACGTAATCCGTGTTAGTTCTCTCTGCCAGTGTGCGACTCTCATGTGATGACGCAACTGGAGAAACACGTGGATGAGAAAATCGGTACAGCCACTGCATGTAACCAGGACTGACCGTAGGAGCACCACCACCAAGTCTGCTGAGGGCACCTACCACGACACTAAAAGACATACCAAGGACAAACCGAGTCCACATCACAGATTTCATCTCTGGCGGAAAGTCAACCCGATACATCTTCAAGTTCGTCGGTCTCTTAGCCTTCTCAGGCCTGATAATGGCTGGTGGAATGCCCTGGACGTATCCAAGTTGCCGAACCACTCGATCAGGCATGTATGGCTCAATGATGCTACGATACTGGATGCAGCCAATGAAAAGAGTAGCAGGCACGCGTCGTGCTGGATCAACTCCGTACGGTAGCCAGTTCACTTCATTGTCAGTCAAATGATCCAACCTAGCCCGAAAAGCGAGAAGGCGCTCCATGCTTTTGTTAGGGCACCCCGATCCAACATCCCAGGCGGACGCACGAGGAATAGCAAGCTCTCTGGTCAAGGTCCCCTGCTGAGGCCGGAAACACGGAAAGTACTCGTAGATCCACGCCTGCAGAAGCGTAAGGCAGCCAGCGATAGAATCAGCATCTCTTCGTGATGCTGTACCCAACTGCCGGTACATGTATGCTAGGACAGCAGAACCCCAGGAGTACTCACTAATCTGAACATCCTCAACAAACAGCTCGTTGAGGAAGGAAGGATGAGTACGGTTTCCACTCTTGTCCAAAAACAAACAACCGCCGAGTACTAACCACAGGTACGCCCTGTAATGGAAACTGAAGGGCCTCTGCGCCTCCAAGGTCGACTCCACTATCCTCTCAATCAGGACCCCACTACCCTGCCATACGGTTTTGGTACCGCACTTCTCATTCAACTCTTCCTCAGTCATATCCAAGGTAACCGAGCACGCGTCCCGTAAAACGTCCGTGCTAGGAGTAGTGGAAACCATGGAACCGTCGACACGAAGCCCTAGAATATGATACACATCATGCAGCATGATCGTGATCTCCCCAAAAGGCATGTGAAATGTGTTCGTGTCTGGCTGCCATCTCTCAATAAAAGCAGAAATTAAGGGCCAGTCAAATCGCCGGAACATGATCCCGGGTAAATGAGATAGACCACTGCCATCAATCGGTTCCAGGTGCTCCTGCGGAAGACGAGTGCGCCAGTTACCCAATTCAGAACACAACTGTGTCCTGCTCAAACACCGCAGCACGTTTCGCTCCTGCCCACCCCATATGTAGGCAGACACGTGACCCCCAAAACTAGGAATAACGGTACCATCCTCAGGCCCACCTGACATCGGCTCCTGCACCACCCATGACTCTGACGAGCTGGTAGAAGCTTGACCTGGTTCACTACTACTAACATATCTCCCATGGTCACCCCTATACACAGTACGGTAATCCTGAGGGTCGTACTGTGCATCTCCAGCAGATTGACTTCCTCGATCTTCATCCTCATCCTTATCTGATGAAGGCACTCCAGTAGACGAATACATGGGGGCGCTCCCCTGTGACTGGTGCTCCCCCGACCAAGCACCAGCAGTCCCATACTGCTGCTCATGCTGAAACGGTGCATGTGAAGGTCCTGCACCACCTAACTCCCTCCAAACAGACGCATTCAAACGTCTTGATCTTGCATGACGAGGACCAGAACCCTCAATCTGCATTAAATAAATAAGTACAAAATCATATTTCAATAATAATTCATAGTCAAAAAAATCAAATCAAAACTATAATAAATCAAATCAAATAAACTATAATAACAGCATTACTAATAATAACAATAATATTATTCTTACAATACTAATACACTACTAACAATAACAACACACTAACACACTACAAATAATTTCAACACAATAACAGACCAAATCAAAACTATAATTAACCACAAAATTGCCAAAATTTAAACGCAACAACGACAACCCAATAAAAAAACAATTACAATAACAATAACAACAATTTAAGTAAACAACCATAATACATAACAACAACAGCAGCAAAAACCAATACAAACCAAACCAAATTTACATAACAATAACAATACATAGCAACAACAAACTTATTAAAATAAAATCAAGAATTATTGCTAAACTATAATTATTGTAAAACTAAATCAACAAAAATTACATATTAATAACTATTGCAAAACTAAATCAAGAAAAAAAATTATTTTAATGCCACAAATGAAGGACACAAATATTTTCAAATTAAAACATGCACCAAATCAACAAAATCGAGGAAAAAAAATTAAGAAAAACATAAATTAAAAAACAAAAGAAAAACAAAAAACAAAAAAAAAGGGGGAAAAACAGAAACAGAAAAACACAAAAACCAAAAAAAAATGGGAAAAACAGAAAAAAAAAAAAAAAAAAAAAACCTAGAAACAGCACTTCCGCCCAGAAATTCCGGAAGTCCAGGGGAACTTCCGGAAATTTCAAGTGGAAACCCCACTTCCGCCTGAAATTTCCGGAAGTTCCTCTTGACTTCCGAAATTTCTGGGCGGAAGTGCCCTTGTCCAGATTTTTTTTTTCAAAATTCAAAAATTTTAAAAAAAAAAATAAAACTCACCGGCTCACCGCCGCTAACGCCGCCACCACGACCACCAAACATCAACCTAATTCTCCGTCGGTCTGCCATTGTCGGTTCAACGTTTGATTGCTAGATTTGCTTGTGTTTGAGTAACCTTCAACTATTTTGGTTTTTTTTTTTAAAAAAAAAAAAATTCTGATTTTTTTTTTTTTCAAAATTTCAGATTTTTTGGAAGGTTTTAGAGAGAGAAAGTGTCAAAGAGTGATTTTGTGAGATGGGAAATGTCTCGTAAACCCCTAACTTAATTTATTGAGTATTTATATACGGAGGGCAATTTAGGAAATTCATGTAAAAAATGTGAACGTCACCTAGTAAAATGCGAACGACGTTTAACAACACCCTTTAAATTTCACATAATATTATATAGGAAAATTTGATTATAATAATCCAACCTTTGCACGATTCTTTTTAATTAATCAGACCTTTTGATTATTCCACAATAATCCAAGCTTTGGGGGGTGTTCTATTCTATTAGGCCAAGCAGGCTGGTCACTGTACCTACAAATCCTACAATTATAAGTCACCTGCCACGCGTCGCATTTTCATTTGTCCAAAAAATATTAATATTTATTTTTAAAAAAAACTTTAAAATTGAAAAAAAAAAAAAAAAATCCTTTTTTTCCTTTCCTCTTCATCTTCTTCCTCCCTTAATCCCTTTCCCTACCTCCATGGATAGCTCCCATTTCTGGCTAAACCTCTTCCCACCACACCTCAACCTCCGGCAGCAAGGAATCCCACCCCACCAGCCACCACCCTGGTCGAAACCCAGAAACACGCAACCACCTCCGTTAGAATTCACCGGAAACCACACAAAAAACCACCGCATTCAAATTCTTTAAACCCATTTTTCTCGGATCTTCCGTTTTCGATTCTTTTACCCTTTGATCTTAACTGGGGTTTTCCCCTAATTTCACTTTAATGCTCAAGGAATGTTCAGCCAAAAAGCTTACTTCATTTCAATATGCAATTCAATTTTTTTTTTTTTATTTTTTTTTGAAGAACTGCAATTCAATCTTAACTGGGTAGGTGTTTTTTTAGCTAGATTTTGGTGGGTTTTGGTTGATTTTTTATTTTATTGATGATGTGAATGTTGGGTTTGTTGTGATTTTTGATAGTTGCAATTTGTGTCGATGTTGTAATTGGTTGCTGCTTGCGGTGGTTTAGAGGTGGCGGTTATGGTGGTAGTGTGAAGTTACGGCTACCGTTGGTTGTGGGCAAAGTGAGCGGTGGTTGCGAATTAGTTGAGCGGCTGTTGTTCGAGGCTGCGCTGTTGAATTGGTGCTTTGGTTGAAGTGTGGGAAGTGGTACGGTGGCTATGAGGGTTGTGTGGTGGTTTCAGGCGAAAGAGGAGACAGGTTGTGTGGGTGGAGCAAATAGGGTGTGGCGTGGTGTTTTGGTGGCTGGGGGTCGTTGAGTGGGCACCAACCCATGACGGTGCTGCTGCGGTGGTGGGCCTGGTGGCCGTGGGGAGGTGGGCTGCGTGGGCAAGGCTGGGGAAGGAGGAGAAATGAAGGTTTTTTTTTTTCCTTTATTTTTTTTATTTGAATTTATAAAAAAAAACAACCGGTTCGTCAGATAAGTGAAATTTGTATAATACCTCACGGTGCACCGGGTGCACCTAATGATGTGGCGTAACTAAATTGTTGAAATCAAATTTTTGGAAAAAATAAAAAAATTTAGCTTAATTACAGGGAGTTTTTTACGTTTAAATATCTTTTAGTTTTTGATAATTATTCTTAATTGACATTTTCCATTTTTTAAACATTTTAGAGAAAGAAAACTACAGAGATACTAAAATTTTAGAGAGAGAAAATTACAGAGAGATAAAAATACAGACAGAATTTGTCGACCGATTGATAGAATTCTCTGTAGAAGAAGTTAATAATGGTTTATCAATCCAAATTTCGCCATGATTTTGATGTTAGATTCGTTGGTGATGATGATATCAACAATGAAGGTGAATTCGAGGATATTGTAAACGAAAATAAAGGTAAATTGGTTAATCGATTATCTTTTCATTTGTTAATTTGTAGATTTATTTTGTAATCAAAGGAAATTGGTGTTTTTTTTTTTTTTTTTGGTATTATTTTCAAAGGTTGGAGATGATGTTCTTCTGATTATGATGAATGTTCCTTTATCACGCATTCAATTTGTTAATTGTAATGGAATATGTTCTTTAAGCCCGATTAATATGTTTTTTGAATCTAAACTATATTTCTTTACATTACAAATCATGTTCTTTAATTTAAGGTATAATGTTCTTTGAGGTTTTAATAATGTAAACTATGTTCTTTTTACTTGAATAATATGTTCTATGTTCATGTTCGTTTGTTTTAACTCTTATGTTCTTTTGGGTATTGAGTGATATAGCACATATTATTTTAAAATTAGTTTTTACGTCATTTTTAATTATTAAACTATCCATCTTTAATATTATTTATTAAATTTATATTTTCTTATGTTAATAACATTAAATAAGTGTGTACATTTTTTTTCCAGGATCACGATGGTTGATGGGGATATTCTTTTTGGACATTATATATTGATGATTGGTTTTCAGATCCAAAGAACATTTATACCATTTATAAAGAACATGATTATCTTATGTAATAAGCACTACTTAATTAAAATATTTAAAATTTAACAAGGATGGTGCAAACAAAAATTTAAAGAACATTTTCACAATAAGCAATGGATATTATGCGACAATAAATGTACATTACAATTACAGTTAGAGAACATGGACATTTAAAATATTTTATCAAAAGATCTAATAAAGATCATAATTAATAGTGGACATATGGAAGAAAAATAGTGCTAATAATTAATTGTACTTTACATACAAAATAAAGTACATCATATTTTCTGATAAAAAATAAAGTACATCATATTTTCTGATAAAGAACAAAAATAAAGTACATTATATTTTCTGATAATGAACATTATCAAAATATATATAAAGAACATCACAAGAATTACACATGACCATTATTATTATAACGAATATTATCATAATTACATAAAAAAAATTGTTGAAAGAATATGATTGCTTTTGGTAGAGATTTTTTAAATTTAAGAAAATCAAATAAAAAATTGGTAACTAAAATTTTAAATATGAAAATGAATTTTTGAATTTGAATTTTAAAAATAAAATCTTGAAATATTTTGAAGAAAATAATTTGGAAAAAAAATTATTCTGGAATCTTAATTTTTTTGAAAAGATTGTATCAATTAATTAATGTGGGATTCGGTTGATTCCTTTCCGAAATTTAATGAATATACCTAAAAATCTCGCGTTCTTCCTATTTCTACACAATGTTCATCGTTTTTATTTTTTTTATTTTGAGGTTTTAATCCAACCTGCGATTAATTAAGAAAAGGGTGTCGTTTTGGGCTGGGTGCACCCGGGTGTAGGAATCAGGAATTGTCAAGTAAATGGTCATTTTGGCCTAATAAAATAGAATGGGATATAAAGCTTGAATTATTGTAGAATAATCAAAAGGTTGGATTATTAAAAATAAATTGGTCAAAGGTTGGATTATTAAAATCAAATTTTCCTATTGTATATTCCTTAATTTCATTTATTAAGTAACTTAGAGGTAATATAATTCATTTATTTTTCACAAGATTAGAATATAAATACATACGAGGGAAAAAAAGGTGACATCCGACTATCCGAGGCAATGCCCGAACCACACACTAACTACACAAAGATTACAAACAGTTAAACATAATTATAAAATTAAAGAAGTACACAAACTAGCAACCCTAGACTATACAAAGATTACAAACAGTCAAACATAATTATATACACATAGAGTTTGCTACGGTGTTACCCAGTAAAAAAATTACTTTTCACAAACTTCTAATGCGAAATTGCTAAGTATATATATTTATTATATGCTGAAAACAATCTAAATTCGCAATGAAACAATTCTGTGCACCTCAATTTAATTTAGAAGAAATAACTTTTCCACGACTTTCACATCACTCATATTTTGTAGTCAAGACTGTTATTACTCCAAGTTTGACTTTTTCAATATTCACATACACCACTTTGAAGACCCTAAAAAGTCAATTGGGGCAAATATTAGGGATATAGGGAGTACTTGTTACTATAAAAATACGGATTACATAATAATATTATTCAAAGTTTTGCGTTGGTAATTAAATAAGTCAAATCGAAGTACTTCGTATTTTTTTTTTTTTTGAAACAAAGTACTCCATATTTATTTAAAAACAAGGGATTACCATGTTTTTTTTTTTAATTATTTTTTAAAAGTTTCATATGCTCCGTATCACGTATTAATGCACAATAAGTTCTCTCTAATGTTGTTTCAAAATAAAAAAAAATAAAAAAAAGTTCTCTCTAATGTAAAAAAACAAAGAGTCAAAACTGAACATGACATTGGTAATATAAACGGTCAAGGTTAACTCAACAAAAACACCTCTATCTTCAAAAAAAAAAAAAAAAATAAGAAAAAAAAAACCCTCTATTATCCAGTTTTTTTTTTTTTTTCTTTTTTTATTTTTAAACAAGTTCTATTATCCAGGTTCAGTTCAATGATTCTTTGTAATTTGTAATTTTGTATTCCAGTAAACATTTATATATATAATACACTAATTCCGATTGAAATTTACCTAAATGAAGAATCACTTAATTTAATGCTTATAGTAAAAAGAATCACTTAATTTTAATTAAACTCTATAATTCTCTTTCCAAAAACAAAAAAAATTAAACTTTATAATTTCATAGTTACCCTCTCCTTCTCTTTTGTTGTTGTCCAGATCTGTAGTTCCTCATTCCTTTCTTCTAAAACCCAAATTTTATTTCTTCTCTACTCTAAATTTGGATAATTAAAATGTATGAACCAATTAATCAAGCAATATATTCCAACAATCCTTATTTACCTGGACAATCTTTGCCCCCTTCAATCCAAAACCCTTCATTTTCATACCCTCAATTTCAATCTCTTTCTTCTGATTCTTCTGGGTTCACCCCGTTTCCGGGTTTCGGGCAATACCCATCAACTCTTCCGGGTTTTGGAGCTCAACCCGTTAATTATTCGGACCCTGCTGCTTCTTCTGCTAATTGGGTTGTCAAGCAATCTGCCCCTGTTAAATATTCTCCAGTATGTTATTCTATTCTCTGGAAAATGGGTAGTTCTTGAAATTTTATGTGCTTTTTTAGTGTGATTTTATGTTGAATGTATGATTGTTGATTGAATTTATGTTTTCTGGAAAATGGGTAGTTGTTGAAGTTTTATTTGCTGTTTTGAGTGTGATTTTGTGTTGAATGTATGGTTGTTGATTGAATTTTTGTTTTCTTGAAAATGGGTAGTTGTTGAATTTTTATATGCTATTTTTGAGTGTGATTTTATGTTGAGTGTATGGTTTTTGATTGAATTCATGTTTACATGATGACAAGTTTTAATTTTAGGAACAAATGATGTGTAGTAGTAGGGATTTGTATATTAGAAGCATTAATAACAATGATCAATGTGTGATTTAGTCATGAATTTAGTGATTATGCATTAGAAAGTCATTTCTTGTTAAATTTGTGATTTTGGTTGAATTTATGTTTGCTTGTTGACAAGATTTTGGAAAAACTGATATGTGTAGTAGTAGGGATTTGTATATAACAAGCATCAATAGCATTGATTGACGAATGATTTTGTGGTAAATTTGGGGATTAATATTGTTTTAAGAAATGCATTTATAATTTTAACTTAAAGCTGTAGGGTTAGGTATAGCAAAACCCTTGGCATTGACCTCAAAGCAAGACATTGTGTGACATACAATGTGAATTTAGTGCCCAAATAGATCATGTGCATGTGTACACGATGATCACTGTGCATTAAAAAGAACTATAAAACTACTTTTTGGGTTGTGGTTAAATGTAAGAACAATAGAAGGAATCTTTAAATTTGTCTAGTTATTACGGGTTCTTATGATTATGTTGTTCACAATGTTAAGGGATAGTGTTGTTGGGTGTGCGTTCTTGTTATTCATCTTTACTTGTGAAAAAGTTGTAATTTATGTGATTAATATGATATGTGATTGAATTGAGTGTGATTACTAGAAATTTACTCTTGGATGTTATTAATCTGCAGGCTATGTTATTCATCTTTACTTGTGAAAAAGTTGTAATTTATGTGATTAATCTGATATGTGATTGAATTGAGTGTGATTACTAAAAATTTACTTTTGAATGTTATTAATCTGCAGGCTATTCAACCGTCAAGGAACGAAGCCAATGCTTCATTAAGTTATGACCCTCCACCGAACTACAACTTAATACATCAAATCTCGTCTATTAACGCCCCTAAGAAAAAACTGAAGGGACCTAAGGTGATTCCTAAAATAATCCCAACAAGCCAAAGGGTTCGATGCCAACTTTGTGATATTGAGTGCAACAATGTTCAAATGTATGAAAAACACTTATCTGGAAAAAAGCATGAAAAAGGTCTCTTGAAACTTTATGCTCCTGCTTTACAGTCTGCAACTATGCAGACAAGCCAGACATCTCAGTCTAGTCAAGTCACTGCTCCTGGTGCACAAAGCATGCAAGTAGCCAAAACTAAGCCTGCTAACTTGGAGGTCAAGAAGCAAAAGCTTGTGGAAGGTGGAGCTACAGTTCAGTCAGTAAGGGTATGCGCAATATGCAATGTAGTATGTAATGGGGACGTAGCATTCAATGATCATCTTGCTGGGAAGAAGCATGCTACTCAGGTAATTTCATTTAAATTTTACTCCCTCTGTCACTTTTCCATGGCTACATTTGGTTTTTGTGCGGGTATTAAGAAAAACACTCTGGGAGTATGTAATCAATCAATCAATTAAATGGAAATAAATTTGCAAGACACAATAAGTGTATCTTTTCTCATTATAATATTTGTGTTCTGGATAAATTTTTAATATGTATCTTTTCTCATTATAATATTTGCGTTCCGGATAATTTTTTTTAATATCTTAACATTTATTGTGTCTTGCTTCTTGTGCTTCGTGTTTGAACTCATGTAGTTTTGATTTGGGCTTCTTAATATGGTTGTAGACTTGTAGATATTACTTCTAGTATGATTTTAAAAGGAAATCTGAATTTTGGAGCCTTCTTTTATTATTGACTTTTGTTTGGCTATAGTTATGTCTTGTAACTATCTTTTTCGTGAATAGCATTTAATCTAAGTCTCTTAGGTTTTTTGGAGGTAAATCTGCATTGAGAATTAGAAATTTCAGTCCGTTTCCTATCTTTGTTAGATTCAGAAGGGGTTTTGGGGGGGGGGGGGGAAGCAAGGGTTGTTTGGGTATGCTTTTATGTCATCCATTGGTCATTTATACATACTTTTAATGTATACAGTAATAATAGGTTACTTGGAAGCTATGCTTGGACTTGGGTGTAAGGATCAAAATTGAGTCTAAGAGTAGGACACACGAAAATTTTACCCTTGAAAATTTAGCCGATCTAGCTCACGTATTTTTTCTGTATACAATAATAGTATGGAGTGGGTTACTTGGAAGCTATTTTTGTACTTGGGTATAGGGATCAAAATTGAGTGTATGAGTCTAGTCTAAGAGTTGGACATAGGAAAATTTATTTTAATTTTGAATATGTAGGTAACACTTTCTAAGTTACAAGTCTTAAGATTACAAAGTGACTTTATCTTGCTATATAGGCATTCATAGTTTTGATGTTACAATGTTTGGTCAAAAGTGAAGTATTAATATCCATTTACAAGCATTTTAGCAAGGAAGTACTTAGCTATTCCATAGTATTAGTTCAGGAAAAAGCCAAGGTATTGGTTCAGTTGCAACATCATTACATCAGCCAACACTTGCCTAGTACATCCTTCCAATAACAGGGTTTTGAATTTGTGATTTTTTTTTTTTTCAAGAAATCGGCTGCAGCTGGCCTTTGCTTTCTTAAAATTCTCTTTTCCATTCACTCCTTGCTATTTACAGTTTATTGAGTTTAATACTAAGGATAATGGTTTCTCATTAAGTTTAAACTTATTAGTTCATAGAGCTGAATTATGTGGTTACTTCACAATGCCGTAATTGAAAATAGGGGTTCTAGTTTTTATCCTTGTGTCAACGCATGCTAACATGTGATTAACAACTTGCTAACTTATGATGGTAGGTATTGTTACTTCAGTCCATTTTTTTTTTATTTTTTCCTTTGAAAATATGGAATTTCATTCTGTTTAGTAGTGAATGTTATATAACTATTGATTTGCCTATTTTATTTTAAGGTGATTTCATTCTGCATAATCTTCACTTTAATCTTCAAAGGGTTTTGGTGGTGATGGTTGTTTTGCTTTTGAGAAGTTTAAGAATGTACTGATTCTTCTTCTGATTTTTTTAGTTGGTTTTGAGGCTCAATGTAAACTTTTTTTAATCTACTACCTTCTACTGGCTATGCTTTGTTACTGTGTGTGTACAGTCTAAGCTTGATATGAAAATTCTATTTGGATAATCTGTTTTCATCCATGTGTCAGCTCTAACTTCTGGTGATGTTGCTTCAGGAACGTGCCAGAGCAAATGTGTTAATTTCAAACCCTGCTTTAGTGAGTACCACAGAAACCACCCAACATGACCTGTCCAAGAAAAGAAAATTTGATGAACCTGCTCCAGCGTGGTGTGATGTTTGTAAAATCAGCTGCACAAGCAATGATGGTCTCAATATGCACTTAGTAGGAAAGAAACACCAAAAGAACCTACGAAAGCTCCAAAACCCAAATATCAATCCCATTACTCCTTTTTCAACTGCTGCACCACTGCCTTCAAAAAATCCAACCACAACTGCTGCCAAAATGCCTGTGTCCAAACCACAGCAGGTGAAGAAGAAAGGTCTGTCTGTGGAGACTAAGAAGCGAAATGTTCTAGAATGTGGAGCAGCTGCTAATGCTGTGAGAACGTGTACTATATGCGGTGTGGTTTGTAACAGTGAGACAGTGTTCAATTCTCATCTTGCTGGCCAAAAGCACATGGCTATGGTGAAACAGGCTGAAGCTGCAAAGGCGATTAGTGGTCTACAAGCTGTCTACCCGTAACATGAAGATTTTGTAACATCACTTCACTTTGGAACTCCCTGACTCTCTCCTTGTGAACTTGTACATATTAATCACCTTTTCTTTGAAAGTTACCTTTGGAGAATGAAACAAGGGGGTTTTATGAGAAGTAACTTTATTTCGTAATTTCATCTACTCATTTACTTTTGTTTTATTTATAAAAGAAAATACGGAGTACATTATTATGTGAGCTATTGTTAGATTTGTTTTGATTTGGTTTCTTTAATAATATAAAATTTTACAAAATCTATAAAGACCATGAAGTTACTTCTGCTAGCATCCTTGTGGATATTGGGCATATTTGATGAGATAACCAAAACTTTTATGCAATACTTTGAGCAATTTATATCTTTAATTATGTACATGTATTATTAAACTATATTTGACAGAAGGCAAAAGGAGATTAAGTACTCCCATTAATAGCTGTAACTTTCCTTGTTCTATCCTGCAAACAAAACTAGACATGAACACAAGATTATCACATTTTTAATTTTTAAAATTTGATTATATTATTTTATATAAAACTCTACTGAAAAAACAAAAACTTAGGAATTTGATGACCTTTTGTAACTATCTTTTTCCTAGCTTCTCGCTATCCCATTCTACTTGACCAATTTGGACATAGAATCCTCCAAGTTTTTTTTAGCATGTTTGATATTAACATACATGGAATCAACTAGAAACGTTGTGCAAGTTTTAAGATACCTATCACTTCATATGAAGCATCAATATTGATCATCAATTCATATGGCTCAGATTCATTCACAACAATGAAAATGTAAATTAAAGCATTTACTAATTTACATGTGTAGAACTTTTACTTTTTTTTAATTTCTCCCTTTAAAAAATACTTTATTGAGCATGATTATTTCCCTTTCACCCTTTGACTACTGTTTCTTCTCGATTGCGCATTTCAAATTCTTTGAAACTCGTCCTCAAAAAAAAAAAAAAAAAAAAAAAAAAAAAAACTTTTGAAACTCTTTTTACAAATTTCTCTCTCTTTACCTTCGAATCAATCATTCGTCATTCTTCAAGCTTGTTTATTGAAACCATCCTAAATTATTTCTTCAAGCTGTACAATTAATAAATCAAATTATACTCTTCAATTTTCTCAAATATACAGTCTGGAAGCTTTTTTCATTTCTGGGTATTTCTAGTTATTATTCCCTCTTCTAATCTGGGGAAATCATCTACTTTTTAAGGTAATTTCGAATTTTTATTATACCCATTTAATTTCTTGAATATGTAATGCAAAATAGTTAGGAATAGTTTCATTTTATTTTCTGAATTTGGGTTTTTTTTATTTTTTTGGATCAATTGTATGATTGCTGGGTTTATGTTGTTCATTTTCATGAATTGGATGACATTATCTTGTTCTTTCTTTCAGTATACTCAGATAATAAGACCATAAATAATTGTTTATGCAATTTTTTTCTTGATATTAGTTTAGAGTATATTTTAAGTGGATGCTGCTAGGGTTAGCTTGTTTTTGGGATAAATCGATTGTCGAACAATGATTTGTTTTTGTATGAGGTGAAATGGGTAAGTTTCATCATCACTACCCCTCCTTTTGGGTGTTGCCGGAGCGGCTGGTGGTCGGTGGGTGCTATGTTGGTGACTTCAATGTACATTCTCTGCAGGAGGTGTATTTATCTGATTATTTATGTGCCAGTTGATGGTATCCAAGCCGTACCTTGTGAACGAGCAATGTGCAGTTCTCCTCTATTTGTAATTAGCTTTGTCTCCGTAGTCATTTACGAAGTATTCTATTTTGTGATGCAATGAGAAAGTTACCATATATCATAGAATAGTATTGGTAGATTTATTTTTGGATGAACCAAGATGCCCTTACTTAAATTGAGTGATAGGGACTTGGGAAAGTAATGGGAATGAATCGATTTATAGAGGGCTTTTTAGTGAAATAGTGTATTATCCTTAATTATGAGGGTTAGGACAATGCAACAATTATCAAGAAAGTAGCAAGAAGGGGCATGCTTTTGTTTATCAATCGTGATTATCCTTAGTTATGACTTATGAGGATTATGACAATGCAACGATTATTCAGAAAGAACGGACATGTTATTGTTTATTAATGAAAAATAAAAAATTTGGAGAGAATAATGTGAATGTTAGGTGAAGAAGTAGGAAATGTTGTTGTATGTTGGGACTTTTTAGGCCCTAGTAATTTGGGAACTTGAGCTAATTTTTTAGGAGTTTGATAACCATTAACTTTTCCTTGGTAGAAAATGGATTGACTATTAGCTTGTTACCCATGGAACCTTGATCAAGAGTTCGGCCATAGGAGTTGATTCTTCAATGATTTAGCAGTGGTGATTTGTGAGTATCCCTTAAGTCATTGTAAATTCATTCATTGGGCATCTTCTGTCCTTCCCTTGATCAAGTTTTGAGGATAGAATGGCATATAAGTAGGTTTTGTAGGGAAAAATAGAGATTTTCCTTATTCTCCATCTCATAACTCTCTACATAAAGCACGGATTTCAAATCTATTAAGATAGAATTCTTTGGAGTGTCATTCTGTCTGTCTTTATGATTCAACACTCTTGCTAGAGAGTCAACTGTTTGCATTACAAATTTGCTATTCTTTTTGAATTGTGCCTCTATGAATCATCTTGCACTCTTGCTGATTGAGTTTAATTTAAGAACTTTTCTTGTGGCTTATTCTACAGCTACAATTCTTACAGAATTTATTGGTCCATATCCAAATTCCTTATTATGTCTTCTACTAATCATTCAATTATTGAGTTTTCCTTTTCTAAATTAAAGAAATTTTGAGTTTTTTTGACTATATGTAATCAAGTTTGTTGAAAGTACTTTGAAGGTTTATTTTATTTTAGAAAAAACATTAATTCGTTTAAAAAATGTTACTTTGAGTCTTCTGGAAAAATCATTTCTGAATTTTTTTAAGCATTGTTCGGCATCCCAAGCCTTCTGATGCCATGATGCATATTGAGTTGTACCGTGATGGCTGAGCTGTCTTATAGATAGTCATAAACCTGAAGGAATGTGATACCTATGTAAACAAAGTAGCATGATCGTTGACTCATTGAACTGATTTTTTTATTCAACTAGAATCTAGAAGGTGAGATACCCATATGTAAAAGAATCTCAGCATACATCATAAAATTGTAATGGACTGAGATCAGTCACACAGCAAAATCAATGTAACAGCAAGAATTTCTGAATTTAACTAGCAAATTAATAAAGATTGAAGCTTTGATATTGATAGATAATGGTGGAAGGGTTACATAAGGATAGATTAATAGCTTTAGGCTATCACTCTCAAACAATGGCTTGAGGCCATAGCACTTTAGGTTTCCCCAATACCAATTTCTGCCTAAGTTGTTATAGACTGATTTTCTAGCTTAGCATTTCTGATTTAACAAAACAAATGAATAAAGATGATAGCTTGATGTTTTGATTGATAATTGCTGAAAGCTTACAAAGGTGGTAGGTTTAGCCTACAAATCTCCTCTTAGCAACTTGAGGCTGTCACTCTCCATTTCCAATAACCCAATTCATGCCTCACTACTACTAGACTACTACCTTCTTATATATACACTAGCCAAAAGCTACAACATTAACCTAGCATTAATGACCCTAGTCTTCTACTGCTGCAAATAATCAGAGACCCGTTTCATGCCACTCCTCCCCCCTAGTGCTTCCTTAATGAATCTTGTCATTTAGTGGTGATGTGTTTTCCACCCTTTTTGAGCTGCTGATTCGTGTCTCCCTTGTTCCTCCCTGTGTGTACTTGCAGCAGTGGTAAGGCATAACTCGGTCTATCACAAAAATCTAGTAGAAAAAAGTAATCTTTAGTTGTTACTATTGATTGAGAGTGGAGACTACTGAAGAGTAACTACGCAGTCTCTTAAATTAACATTTCCGTGCTGATATATTAGACAAAGTTCTTAGAGGTTGATATAATTGACTTTTTTCCATACATCAAATGGCATAACTCATGTAGATGTATCTTTACGAATTTGTGAGCAACTGATAGGAACTTTATAACAACATATTTTATGCCTTTTTGAAGTTGCATAACCAGACAGATATTTACTGTTTGTGGTGTTTGTTTTCTAGATGTCCACTAGCTCCAGGAGTGATACTACTGATGACTCCATTTTTGACATAGAGGAGCTATTACAAATTGAAGCAAGATGTAGAGAGGTATCTTTCAGTATTTTGTTCTTCTGGGTTGTTTTTGCATAACATAATTTACAGAAGTGTTGCATAACAGCATAAGTTATGAGGCAAAGGAGATATTTTCCTTTGTCTTTGGTGAATTAAATAGCAAGATAGCCTTGATATCGTTCTTCAAGCTTGTTTATTGAAACAACCCTTGTTTATTTAAGCTGTTCAATAAATAAAACAAATTATACTCTTCAATTTGGACAGGGAAAAGGAATTTGGATATGGACAATTACCTCAATAGAAATTTTGTTGTGACTGATGGAAAGGATTTAATAACACCCCCACCCGCAAAAAAAAAAAGTAACTGAAAAAAGAGGAAAAAACGTTCATTTCATCTGTTAAATTTCTATTGAAAGTTTTTAAGATATGTTTTATTAACAGTAAGTAGCAAAATTATTTTGTTACCTTGGTTCATTATTTAGAATTCAAAATCGACCTTTGTCTTTTATATTTCACATCCCAAACTTAGTAACTGTTACACACAAATACCTTCCGCTTCTTAGCTATCCCCTTATAGTCCAATCCTTTTAGCACTATTACTTTACATTGAAAGTGTGAAGTAGTCAGAGCTATTTCTTCTGACTGGAAGGAATTAGAGGTGAGCTAATATAACCCCTTCCTTTAAAGCATATTCTTATGAGATGCATTTATGCTTGTGAATGTCATTTGTGAAGCACCACATTAGACACTAGACAGTAAGGTTACTCATTTCTGACACGAAAGCTTTTTTTTTTTTCTCTTCCTGTTAAGCTTGATGCAACTGCAATATTGATAAGTGCACTCTGGTCATCAAGTTCTCAATATATATTCCATGAGTACATTTGGGGGGTTGGAGGGGGGGGGGGATTGCTGGCACCTGTTAATTCGCTTAATCGGTATTTGAGTATTTGCTCTGTATTTGTAATATCACTAAGTCATTTACTTTGCTTTGATGAATTTAATTTTGCGCGAAAGGAATTATTTGCAGATTTCTTACTTTGTTTCTCTTTTTTGGTCGCAGTTAAGAAGAGAGAAGGATTTGCTTAAAGAAACACAATCCCAAAGCTTTGACCTGATCAAAGTAATATTGTAATTTCCATTTGGTCTATTTATGTACTGTTACTGTTGTTATTTATTTTCACCATTTGCTTAGCTAGACATCAGTAATCTTCATTCTCCAACCTTCCCTACACCTACAAACCTATAAAGGAAATACAAGTACTGTGGAAGTAATATAATTGGATTCTTTGAAGTACTCGATCAAAATCTATCTGGGAGTCCAAGATGACAGTAATAAATGTAGTATTGGACTCCATTCATTACTGAACTGATCTATTATCAGTTTGGCATCTATATTCATTTTATTCAGTTTCTAATATGCCTTCTAAGCTGTACTAAATAGTGATACAAAACCTGTTGATGGTTCAACCTGGACAACACTAACAAATGACGCATAGTTCTGGAAATATCCAAACTAAAAGAACACTATAGAATAAATGATGTATGACTTCATTTTGGTCGCACTTAACTTCAGGAAGGATATATACTTATAGTCAGTCGCTATGTTCTTTTCTGCAATTTCATATATTAGACCTCTGTTTGCGGCTGTCCAAAGGACATATTAAAAGTCAGATCTAGTGCAGACTCTGCATGTTACATCATGCTTGGTGATCTTCTTACTAGGTTTCATGCAATGCAGAGACTGGAGCTGCATGTATGGAAATTGAATGAGGCCCGCTTGGAAGATAAGAGAAAAGTTCAAGAGTTAGAAAAAGAGCTGAATAACTGCCATCAGGAAATAGGTAATACATAATTATATTTATATCTTTGATTCAATTTGCATGCTAAGCTTCACTGTTTCTGTCTTTGTTTTGGTATTGAGGTTTCTTCTTTATGTTTTGGCTTGTGTGGTTGGGATTTTCTTTAGAATGGAAACTTAAGAGCAGACTTTGCTGGTTTTGACCCCCTCCCTCCTTTTTTTTTTTTGGCTCAGCTTTAGATTTGATAAATATTATTAGATGCCACTCAACTTTGGTTCCTAATTTGCTAAATCTGTTCTCATTTACTATTATCTTTGAAGTGAGTTCTTGCCTATATAGTTTGTTTCTAAGCACAGATCATAGGTATTGGATTTATCATTAGGTGGTGCCAAGTCAAATCTGCTCCTCTTTTTCCGTTGCAGAAAAGAGATCCCTTCCCCCCGCTTTCAAAAATGATGAATATTAGAATTTACTGCTAGTGGCTCTAATAAGGACCTCGCCAAATGCACTGGTGAAAAACTGCCCCCAGCAATGCTGAGAATCTGTCTGCCCAAAAAATAAAAATATAAAACGCATAAATGCTGTGAGATCATGCGCCTAGTTTTCTTTTTTCAGTTTCATGATTGCTTAGTGGGTGTTTATAAGTGGATACTTTGATATGCTGATTGTTGATAGTATCATTAGTCATTTAGTGCATTATTGTGTCAACTCCAGACTATTTGCAGGATCAATTAAATGCAAGGAATGCTGATGTGAAGTATCTTGAAGAGTGTGTTGGGAGCTTTGAGATGAAAATGGTCGACTTTGAACTTCTGCAGGAGGAAGTTGTCAGTCTAAGAGAAGAATTAGAAAAATCGGACTCGGAGTGTAATTTTTATATTCAGGAACTAGGCACTAAAGAAACACAACTACAGCAGACAAGATTGCATATAGAAAAACTAGAAGAGTCTATTGCCTCTGCTGCATTGGAATACCAATGTGAAATAGAGAGCTTGAGGCTGGAAATGATGTCCTTGGAGCAGAGCTGCTTTGAGTCTGAAAAATCCGAGGAGTACTGTCAAGAAACTGCCGGATTGACCAAGTCACTTCATGAATTTCAGATCCAGTTTGAGGAAGCACAAAAAAATATTAAAAATTTGGAAAATGAAAATAAACGAGTGGTGGACGTGCTTAATGCACACGAAAAGGAAGCAAGATTATTTTGCCAAAGAGTTGAAGAGCACTTCGAAGGATGGATGGATTGTAGTAAAGGTTTAAATTCTTGTGGATTGTTCAATGTTGCAGCAGGAGAAATTAGTTTATGTGGCGATATCCTTGGACCACTGCTCTCAAAACTCCTCAAGATAGGTACATCAATTAAAGATCTTAAAGGTAGTGATAGTGGAGAGAAAATGTCCCATGAACTTCATAAGTATGAAGAACTAGTAAAGCAGCTTAAGGAAGAACTGAAGAAAGAGAAATTAAAAGCGAAAGAAGAGGCAGAGGACCTCGCTCAAGAAATGGCAGAATTGAGATACCAAATGACAGAGTTGCTGGAAGATGAGCGCAAACGACGTTCTTGCATTGAACAAGCCTCTTTACAGAGAATATCTGAGTTAGAAGTACAGCTTCAGATGGAGCAAAGGAAATCTGTTGGCCCTGTTCAAAGAATTTGTGAGGTATAATAGTTTCGATGAGTTCAGTACTGTTGTGTTTTGTAACATTACCAGTCTTGTGTAAAGACTGAACTAATTTTTTTGTACAGATATAGAATGTGAAAGTATCATTTGATTGAGATAAAGCATTGTGTTTGGTCCGCACACAAAAAGATACTTCTCTGAGATAGTTTAAGCAGCTTGATCTGGAATTTTTTTTATAACCTTCTCATCTACTGTATTTTGATCTGTTGGAGCTAGGCGAAGCTTTGAAATTCAACAGATGAATATGGGGTTTATGTTTGTAGAATCGAGTGGGCAAAATTTGGAACATAAATTTGTTATGATAAAGCATTACAATTTGTTGGCAAAATTTCACTTGCAAATACTCTCATCTTAACACTAAAAACTCCTTGCCTTACACCTTAACTTAATATTAGATTATTAATTATATAATTAATAATAATTAATATGTAATTTGCGTAAGTTTTATTAATACACAATTAAAGATATTTATCAATGATGGAAATTAAAAGTTATAATCTAGATGTTTTGCTTTGATCTATCTTGGACGAAATAAATAACAAATTTCTAATAATTAGTTAAAGAGAATAATTACTAAATCATATCATGTATTTTTAAGTTTGAGTTGAGTAATCATAAGTCAATTTTGCCAAGTCTCGGATCCTTGATATGTACTTTATAATTTCCCGAACAAGCAAATTACTCGTAGAATTTTTTTTCTCCAAACTAGAGGTGTTAAAAATTGACCTAACCCAACTAAACACAACCTAACCGAAAGTGATCAGATTCAAATTTTGATTTGCATGGCCGTATGGGCACAATAATTTAGCATGACTCTAATTCGAACTACACCTGACCTAACGAGACCCAACCAAACCTGACACAATGACCTGAATTGACAACTCTAAAAAAAATCAACATAAGCAACCAGAGGATAAAACACATTTACAACAACTGGTTATGAGAATTCTTAAAAGCATTACGGTTCATAACAAAAAACATTACGATTTAGCATTGTTAGTTTTACAAACGAGGGCAAGATCTGATGAGCTTTCATTAAAACATACTGCACATGTCTGTTTAGTAACTGTCATGAATTTGGAAATAATAACCTATTTGCGACCTCAGAATAACAACCATATCTGATAAACAGGGTCGTCTTAAACATTTTAGAGGCCCTGTTCTAACCCAAAAAATTGGGCCCTAATTAGAATTACAGTTTTTTTTTTTTGGAAAAATTCATGGGAATAATCCCACCTTTAGGTCATTCGTTTTTAATAATCCCACCTTTGAGATATTTTTAATAACCCGACCTTTAGCTCCCATTCTTTTTAGATGGTTCCATTTTACCTGAAACCGGTTGAGTGGGTAAATTTTTTTTTAAAAAGATTAATTTACACGTGTCGTTACTTAATTGGTAAAAAAAAATAAAAAAAATATTTTCATTTGTTTTTCCTTTTTTTTTCTCCTTCCTCCTCCTCCATTATTTCCGACAACCCCTCCCCTCCACCACCATAATCCAACAACCCCTCCCCTCCTTCCTTTCTCTTTCCCTTTTCCTTCCTCCCTTTCCTTTCCCTTTCCTCTTCTTCTTCCCTTTACCCTCCATTAATTCCGACCGACCACCTTTGCCAACCTCCTTCCCCTCCCTTTCCCAGCACCCCCCTCAACAACCATTTCCGGCCACCCTTCTCTTCGTTGAACACCCCCACCCACCCTCTTGAAACCTCGTCGGACCCCACCAACCCCCACAAAATACCGTCGGAAACACACCCACCCCCTCGAAACCAAGTCGGAAACCCACCCACCCCACATCAGAAACCCTGAAACCCAAAACCCCACCCATCGAAACCCCTTAAGCCACCACCCATCTAAACCCCCCACCACGAACCCCCAGCCCCCTTCGCGAATTCACCCACCCTAACCTAGCCATCTCGAACCACCACCATAACAATGGTGTTGATGGTGATGGTGAGGTGAATGTGATGGTGATGGCCGAAATTGAGGCGTTGGAAGGGGAGGGAGCCGGAAATGGGACGAGGGAAAGGGAGGAGGGTCGAAATCGGTCGACTGCTGTCTTGGAGGCGGTCAGCGGTGGAGGAGAAGTTAGGGGAGAGGAAGAGAGAGAAAATGGGGTCGGAGGAGGAGGAGAGGGGATTGGTACGGTTGTGGTGGTGGGGTCGAGGCGAGGGGAAGGGAAGGGGGCCGGAAAACGTGGTGGGGGAGGGGTCCGGAAGTGAGATGGCGGAAGAGGAAGGTTGACAGCGCAGCAGCCTCCCAACGATGGCGGCAGGGGCTGGCGGAAGAGGAGGGGCTGGGTTTGTTTTTTTATTTAATTTTTTTTTTTATTTTTAAAGGTTTTTTTGTTAAATTTTTTTAATTTAACTTTTTGTTTTCTATTTTTGACCAATCATAGGCCGTCACGTGTCATATAACTTGTTATAACAGGTTACATGACCAGTTGGGACCATTAAAAAAGAATGGGGGGCTAAATGTCGGATTATTAAAAAATATGTCAAAGGTGGGATTATTAAAAACGAATGACCCAAAATGAGATTATTCCCATGAATTTTTCCTTCAAAGATGATAAACTAAAATGATATTTTAACACTGCAGTAATTAAACAAATAGTCTATAAAAAAAAAACAGTATACTCAAAAATGATAAACTAAAATAATATTGTAACACTGCAGTAATTAAACAAATAGTCTAAAAAAAAAAACATATAGTGCACCAAAAACACAAAAATCAACAAACATTCGTAATGAGAGTAGGATTGAAACAACAAAAACTTGATAATCCAATTAGCAATTCTTCAAATTCCAAATAAAAATACACTGTCATACTTTCAACCTTTAAAAATTGCAACACCACCTCATACCAAATCTCAAAAAAACTGAAATTAAATTATGCTTTATGCATGCATACCTCATAACTCATTCTTTTTAATTGGATGGGCTTTGATTTTTGAACTAGTAATCCCAAATTCACAACAATGAGTAATCTAATTATTGGTTTTTGTCGAAATGTGAGATTTAAAATAATTTAATTGTGGAAAACATGAAATAATTTTTCGATTGGAATCAATTTAGGGATTAGAAAATACATGATATTTTCTCATAACCAATTAACCATTGTGATTGACAGAGGAATTGAAGGGGGTTGTTAAATTGGAAGCTTAATTTTTATTTTCTTTTGGTAAATATGTGATATTTACTGACAAATTAGAAAATAAGTGAGAAAGATGGAAAGTTTTATACAAGTATTGACTATTGTTATGGGAATTACAAATTAATGGGAGTAATTATAATTATGGAATAAATGAATTTGAAGAGTTAATTTAGGATGAAGAAATTCTTGAAAGTTGAAATAGACTGAAGCAATAAAGAGTCAGACAAAAGTCACAAAACACAAAGCAACGACTTTTTTTTTTTTTTTTTTTTTCACATAACTGGACTTTTAGTAGAAATGGGCCTCAAGATTCCGGGGCCTTGTGCCAAGGGTCTGTTTGCACAGGCCCTTAGTCGGCCTTGCTGATAAACACTGAACAATAACGCAGTCAAACCATTTGTGCTAATAGTAGTATAATACTATGGAAAATCAAATGACTAAAAGACTAAGATTGTCAACTATAAGCATGAATACGAGTTGGAAATTTTGTCTAGAACTACCCTAAATATAAGGTCACTTGTGAATAACTACCCTTTTTTTTTTTTTTTTTTTGTTTTAGAAACTAATCGCAAGTTATGAAACGTTTGGGTAACAATACCCATTAGGAGTGAAAGTTCAGTTTGCGGTGTGGTTTATAGCCCAAACCGAAACCAAACCACATTAATTTGATTTTGGGATTTTTCAAACTACACCGCACCATATTATTATTGAAACCGAACCAAACCACACCGTTTTAAATTCGGTTTTTCAAAAAAAAAAAAAAAAGAACCAAACCACACCGAACTTTTTCATCCTCTTCCTATTTGCTCCATCTAACTGGTCGTTCACTCCAACATCGCCCACATTGGTTAACATTGTAGGACTTAAAAAAACACAAGTTTTATTATTTTTTGGCTTTATATATGAAGGGTAGAAATTAGTTTTGGGCTAGGCTATAATTTGGATATGGGCCATAATTCGGTTTGGATTTTGATTTTTGGTTTTTCAAATCTTAAAACCGAAACCAAACCATATTAATTCGGTTTTGGGATTCCTCAAACCGCATCGAACTATATTAGAAAAAAAAAAATCGCACCATATTTCTAATTCGGTTTGGCTTGCGGTTTGGTTCAGTTTTAAACCGCATTAGTTTCACCCCTACTACCCAGTAACGTTTTCCGTCTAATTAAGACGTTACTGGGGCCTTTTTCACTTTTCCCACCTCATTAACTCCCCCAACTACCTTCTCTCCTCCTCTTTCCTCCCTAATTAATTTTCCCTCCATTCTCACTCAAAAATCAGAGATCGAGATGATAATCAAGCAATTGAATGCAAATTCTCAGTAATTCAGGTAATGTTTCACACCTTTCTTTTAATTCATTGTTTGTTGTATTTGTTTACAAGTTTTAATTGAATTCAATTAATATAATTAGGGTTTAAATTAGTGATTCAGATTAGGGTTTATGGGTTCAAATAAATTTAGGGGTTTTGATTTCTAGGGTTTGGGGGTTTAATTGAGTTATGGGCTTTGGTTATTTTGGCTCTGAGATCTATTGAATTCAATTAAATTAGTGATTCAGATTAGGGTTTATGGCTTAAAATTAATTTGGGGGTTTTGAGTTCAAGGTGAAAGAAGAGAGTGAGAATGGAGGGAAATTAATTAGGGATTAGAGAAGGTAGTTGGGGGGAGTTAATTAGGTGGAAAAAGTGAAATGTGGGCCCAATAACGTCTTAATTGGACGGAGAACGTTACTGGGTAGTGTTATCCAAACGTTTCATAACTTGTGGGTAGTTCTAAACAAATAAAAAAAAAAGGGGTAGTTGTTCACAAATGACCCTATCTTTAGGGTAGTTCTAGACAAAATTACCAAATGATTTGGATCATTGTGAACATTGTTGGAACAGCATAAGCTACAAAACCGACATCATTTCTAAATTGGATCACAGTCAAATGACAATAGACTTATCTATAATCATGTGCAGTCAATGTAATCAACAGAAAATCAACCAAAAATGATTTGAAACGAATGACTATCACAACAATGCTACCAAAGAAGCAGCTTCTGCCAGGAGGCCCAGGACCCAACTTGATATTAAGCCATGGAAAAGAGTAATGCAGTTGCTAGAATTTCTTAAGCACAAGTGCAGCATCAAAATTAGCTTACAGAGCTGCAACCAAATCAGCGATGAATAAAGATGTGATAACAAGCAACAGGATAAACAAAATATACCAACAACAAAATTATGAATTTCACAACATAAAATGACACAATTCTGCCCAAGCCAATGAATAATGAAGCTTAGGAAATGATAATATAACATCAAAAGCTTTGGTAATTAACCACAAGCCCACACCCAAGTTCTGTATACAACGTCAATTGGACAGGAGAATTGCAATTACAATATGATAAACTAAAAAATGTACGCCAAAATCCCCAAAGCTACACAACAAAGATGATATGCCAATGTATCAATTTAGCATATCATCAGAATCAAAAGATCTCTCATGATACAAGCTCAATGCAAATTGAAACATCAAGTGACTAATTCATTCCAGAGTGTAAACAACCGACATCACCTTCCAAGGACAATGATTACGGAAAATGACTTGCTCCAGTGTCAAAATTATAACAAGAGGGCAATGAAGTAATCAGATCAGTATCTAAACTAGCTCAATGTAGGCCATTGGAGCATTGTCCCCTCTCCTTGGTAGGGTCCTGATGATCCTTGTGTATCCTCCATTCCTATCTCCATACCTTTCTGGCACTTCAGCAAACAAAGCGTGAACAATCTGCTTCTCATATATAAACCCAAGTGCTTGTCTTCTTTTGTGAAGTGAGCCCTCTTTAGCCAAGGTAATCATTTTGTCTACATACTTCCTCACAGCACTTGCTCTTGCTCTTGTAGTCTTGATACGTCCATGCTTAAGAAGTTGAGTTGTAAGGCCTCGAAGAAGTGCACGACGCTGATCTGGGGGCCTGCTAAGTTTAGGCACTTTTCTTCCATGTCTCATGGCAAAGAATCGACCTCCATTGTCAATGATTCTAAAAAGACTGTCAAAGCCTGTGTTCTCTGACAAAAGGAGACAGCTATAGTAAGCACGCAACTCGAGGTTGAAATGGAAAAATAGAGCAACAAAAATGTCATCTCATTCAAGTAATGGCCAGATTTAAGTTGAATCTAATACAATAATACATTGTTACTTTGTCAGACAAACCCTTTCCCTTTTATGGATCAAAAGCACAATATAAGGCTCTAGGTTCAAAGTATACTATACATAATCAATATGGGCTAACATATGTATGACAAGTCACAAACTCACAATTCATCTGCTCATAAGCCTCCTTTAATTAAAGAAACTAAAGCAGTCTCTTAGAACCAACTGCTACTTTGATATTCCTCAGCCAGAAAATTTTCAGTTACAAATTTACAGCTATTAGTTCATTACATTATTGCACTTTGAAGACTACATCCATATTGCTGTATAAGCTTTGCAAAAAAGGGAGAACCATACACAACCCTGGTCTGTAGTCCAATCCAATTATTTTCTTAGAACCAGCCTATCCAAAAACTAGCTACCTTGAAGGAAGCTTCCCAGATCATGAATTGGTTACGAGTAAAAGGAAAAAGCAAGTACCATACTACCATTTTTATTCACCTTTGATAACAAGTTTCAGTTTAAGGCAACGAAATTCTTTTGTCAGCTGAATTGAGATATATATGAGCAGTACAGTTACATAAATGTTCAAGTCTGAAACAAAAAAGAAAATACTGTTGTGGAAACTGGTCATTCTTTTGATCTTTTTAGTAGCAACTACGGTGTAATCATATCAACAACCTTGTAACCTATTTGGCTAATTTGCTTCCAGTGACTTTGAATCAATGAGAAATGATATGTGTGAGTTAAGACAACATCAAAATGAAAGATTTGTATCACAAATAAACCAAAGACATTCATTAAATCATGCAACTCAATGTGCATAAAAATATAAAATAGAAGCTCACATTATGTTTCAGTTACAAAAGAATCCATAGGTGCCTAAGTATGTGTTTCACATTAAACAAAAGAAAACTGGAAAAGCCGCAAAACTAAATACTAATTGTCCAGAGGAATAGAGATTATACCTGATCCAGAGGGGAATGATGAGAGAAGAGGACAGAGTGCAGTGAGGCCACTGTATTGTGGTAGAAGAGGCTTAGAACTGCATAGTGATAATCCCACTCTACGTGGTTTTGAGGACGAAGTATTACAAGCAGCCGAAATGGGGACCTTGCGGAACATGGGAGCCGAAGGAACTGAAGGCAAGGCTGACTTAAGAGTAGCCATACTCCATGATGTTGACGATGAACAAGCCATCTGCCTGCAATATTATATTAGAACAACTATTAACACCAAAAGTAAGCAAAATCAAAAGAGAGAAAGAACAATGCTACAACAACAAACACATATCAATCACAGGATTCACAACTCAAATTCCAACACCCAATTCACCAATTACAAAAACAAATGTAGAAGAAACAACAGTTACGTCTCAAAAGTACATGTAAATTCATTACCATTACCCCCTTATTACCACCTACCAAACGGGCCATAATTGATTGAATGAACAAAATCACTACAATTTCAATACATACAAGAAAAAATTTCACACGCCCAATTTCCAACAATCATGCAAGTTCAAAAACAGAAATTTAACCAATTTATTCAAATTTGGCACCAAAATTCTAGCAAAAAACCCACTATTGGTCAAACACACAAAAGAAAACTTCAGCTAAGCATTTCATCAAACAGATAACAAGCACACAAAAAGAACAATTCTTTTAGTAATGATTACAATGTAATTTCAAAATGGGCATTAATTTTTTAACCAGAAACCATAATTATATGCATGAATTCATGTAAATAGCGAATAAATTAGCAAATTTGAATGAAGAAGTAGAAGAGTAAGAGGGAATTTTACCAAGTAGAATGGTACAGTAGATTAGAGAGCTAAAGCCAGAATGAAATTGGATAAGGGAGGAGAGAGAAAATGTGAATGTTTACTCTATGGCTCGCCTAAAGTAAGGGATAGAAACTTAACAGATATCCTGTGTTCAACTTCACCTTTAAACTATGGGGCGGTCCACGCATCACTCATTTACCTCATTGATTTCATAATTAAAATGAACTAGAGGTGATCAAAGTTAGCCCGGCCCGACTCCGTCTGATTTTTGGCAGAATTTTTCGGCCCGAAATTGGGTTGGGCCCGGCCTAAAAATATATATTTTTTGGACGGGTTTGGAAATGCATTTTTAGGCATATTTAGTTGATTTTTTAGGCACGGTCCGACCATTTTGGACGGGTTTGGACACAAATATTCCGGCCCAAAGCTTGAGCCAACTCGGCCTGAGAAGTGGGCATAATTTTTTAGCTTCGACCCGGCCTGACCTGCTTAATGATCACCTCTGAAATGAATCTATAACATTTTAAAAAGAGAATAATAAGTTTGGTGAAAAAGGGTAGCTCTGCAGTGATTTGTTTCGGTGAAATTCCATTCAAGTCTCAATTGATGTTTTTTTTTAACACAACAAAGGAAGATATATATATTAGAAGATTATCCTTACATCGAAAATATTACAAGAAAAATTGATGAAGGTAATCACAAGATAATTACCCCAAGTATGGAGCCAAATGTTCAAACTTAAAAACAAGAGGTAATTAAACATAACTAGCAAACTTAGCCACTCATTAGCAGCACAAAAGATACATCTAAGCTGGAGGAGGGTGACAAAGTCAAACAGCAGTAGCAGGAACGCCCAACTCCCTTTCATAAAGGGTCTTGACACAATCAGGGACAGTGAAATAGGTCATATGGCCAATACTCATATCATTACCAACTTCAGTTAGCTCGTGAGCAATGACATTGAGGTCCCTTCGAATATGTTTAATCTCCACAACCTCAAGCTTCTTGATGCTAGTAGCAATATCATTGATAGTGGCAGCAAGCTGATGATGCACATTAAGCTTCATGGTATCAAACATCACCTTAATAGAGATAGCATCAGTGAAAAGCTCCACCTTCTGCACCTCAAAAGTGTCAGCCATAGCCAGAGCATTCCTAACAACATATAATTCAGCTGCTAGAGCTGAAACCGCGCATTATACTTGCTGGAGAAACCCAGGAACCAAGTATCAACTTCATTTCGAATAACCCCTCCACCAGCAGCTACATTAATCATCCTCCAAGAACCATCAGTATGAATTCTTTTAAACCCTGGGGGAGGAAGAATCCACTTCTGCTCTAAGGATAAAGCAGGAGAGGAGGTCTTTAAGGATAGGATACAAGCACCAGCAGCAGAACCATCATCGCAATGGGCAGAAGCAGTAGAAGCAGCAGCAGAATCAGAGGTGTTAGCACTCACTGCAATGGAAGGAACACTAGCAGAAGAGGGAGCAGCATTCGAAGAAGAGGCCAACCCCTTTCCTTTATCCTGCAATAGCATGTTAGTGCAGTGATAATCATTGAAAAATCTAGCAAAATTAGCATGAGCATGGAACATTTTTTTTCAAAGACTGTGATATTCCTATTTCTCCATAAATGCCAAAAGGCCACCAAAAAAACCATTTTCCAGTGAGAATCGAAGCTAAGATTATAGTTCAACCAATCATTCCACTCAAGATTCATAAACTCATTAAAATCAAAACCACAAGGGATTCTAATCTTAGCAAAGATGTCATTCCAAAGAATATGAGAAGAGAAGCAATCATGAAAAAGATGAATATGGGACTCCTCATACATACCACACCTAGCACAACTTGGACTTACCAAAGGCAAGAAAAGACAGATTTTTTGAGCAACAGGGAGAATAGAGTGCATACAGTTCCAAAGCAGCATTTTGTATTTTGAAGGAGCTTGAATCCTCCAAATACCTTTCTAAGAGTTACAGAAGGAACAAATGGTGCATTTATCCTTAATTAAATGATGATAGGCTGATTTAATGCTGAAAACTCCATTATTCGAAAAAGACCAAGTAATAAAATCATCCATATTACCAAATTTAGAGAAAGGAGTGGCCAGAATTAAATTCACAATAAAATCAGGAAGAATATGCACGATATCATTAAGATACCAATTACCATCTCTAATTATGTCACAAAGAAACCAATGAGCCTTAGCATTGGGAACATCCCGATCCAAATAGAGATATATAGGCTTGTCACCCACCCAATGATAATACCAAGCGAGGTTGTTTTCCCATTACCAGTACCAATTTTAAGACCCGAGGCAAGAAGGTGTCTTCCTTTCAAAATATCCCTCCAAATGGGGGATTGAGAATTATGGGGATTGCAATAAAAAAAAGGCATTCCTCGAATATTTATCATTGAAAATTCTAACCCACAATTTATCTTGACTATTAAGCAAAGTCCATCCCAACTTGGCCATGAAAGCAATATTCCAATCCTTAAGTATTCTAATGCCTAACCCCCCAATTTCCATAGGTTTGGTGGCATGACCCTATCTAATCCTAGGAGAGTAATGAATATTGTCCACTTTATTCCATAAGAATTACCTGCATTGTTTTTCAATGGAATTGATAACAGAGAAAGGCAATAAGTTAGTTTTCACATGATAAACAGGATAAGAGAACAGCCTTGACTAATGTGTTCCTGCCAGCAAGATTAAGATGTTTACACTGCCAACCCCTTTGAAAGGATCACAATGGTGATGAAATAAACACAATAATACTCTAGAAGGGGGGGTTGAATAGAGTATGGGCAATTTTTCGCAAAACCCAAAATGTCAAGGTTTTAAGATTAGTTTCAAGGCGGAATAAACTAATCTCAGGTTTAAATTCAAGACTTTGAAAACTGTTTGTAAAGTAAAACGATTGCTAATCAGAATGTTAGAAACGTTCTGTTTGATCAGCTAGAGATGAGTTATAGTAGCGTAAAAATAAATGCAAGAATGAATAATAAAGACACAGAAAATTGTTACGAAGTTTAGCACAAAGGCCTACGTCTCCGCCTAGGGTTGTCCAACCCGTAGGATTTTAACCACTTTTATTTCTTCCTTTAGAGTCCTAAAGCACCTAGAAGATAACCTCTCTTCTCTCCGCAACCACCCGGTTACACTTTAACAACTCAATTCCCAGAAATAAAAGACTATTTCACTTTTACTATACTTTGAGTGTTATAAATTTCCACCTACTCTATTCAAACAGTTTTCATTGGAGATCGCTAATGCAAATGTTCGTGATTGATCAAGATCTTGAGCTCTGGGAGATTATACAGAAAGGTCCTAAAGTTCCCATGAAGACGACGAAAAGTGGAGCAAACGTTCCAAAAGATGATGATGAGTTCAACCACACGGATCTTGAGTCCTAAAGCACCTAGAAGATAACCTCTCTTCTCTCCGCAACCACCCGGTTATACTTTAGCAACTCAATTCCCAGAAATAAAAGACTATCTCACTTTTACTATACTTTGAGTATTATAAATTTACTCTAAGTATATCACTCTTTTGATATATTCCTTTTCCACTCTTAGATACACTTTTCTTTTCTCTCAATCTAATCACACAATAAGGTATTAAAGAACTTAGAGAGAAAGTATTTAACACTCTTGCTATAGTGTATAAAGCTTGATAATTCTTGAGTGTTCTTATTCTGAATATTTCGGTTGATTTATTTCCAGCAAGTCTTCACGCTATTTATAAGGCTTTAGGGATGATTTCAAACGTTGTAGAGCTGATTAACCTGATTTCAAACGTTGCAGGGCTGTTTCAAACGTTTGAAAAACTTCAACAGAATTCCTTAAATCTTGCTTCAACATAACTTTCGGCCCTTTTGAAATTTGAACGTTGCCAGCTGTTTGTTTCTGTTTCAACGTTTATTTGAATAACTCTTTTGAATAAATCAGCCTTATCCTGTAACAACAAGATTAACAAACCCCTAGAAACTAGGTTAGGTAGCATTAGATAAGTTTATTCAAAAAATATGACTAAGAAATATATTTATCTTAATCATAACATATAGATAAAAAAATCGAAACAAAAGATTAAATTATAATAGTAATAATAACTTGATTAAAAATAATTAACAAAAATAATCAGAAACATTATCACCAAAATACTTAGGCAAAAATAATCCAGGTTAGCAAATCCAATCTAGCATGCATATTGGGCTTGACTTGCACACAAGTTTAGTGGGTTTGACTTCCATCATTATAACGATAGAATAAGTAACAAAAACTAGTATCAAGGTGGAAATTTATAACACTCAAAGTATAGTAAAAGTGAGATAGTCTTTTATTTCTTGGAATTGAGTTGCTAAAGTGTAACCGGGTGGTTGCGGAGAGAAGAGAGGTTATCTTCTAGGTGCTTTAGGACTCTAAGGAAAGAAATAAAAGTGGTTAAAATCCTACGGGTTGGACAACCCTAAACGGAGACGTAGGCCTTTGTGCTGAACTTCGTAACAATTTTCTGTGTCTTTATTATTCATTCTTGCATTTATTGTTACGCTGCTATAACTCATCTCTAGCTGATCAAACAAAACGTTTCTAACATTCTGATTAGCAATCGTTTTACTTTACAAACAGTTTTCAAAGTCTTGAATTTAAACCTGAGATTAGTTTATTCCGCCTTGAAACTAATCTTAAAACCTTGACATTTTGTGTTTTGCGAAAATTGCCCATATTCTATTCAACCCCCCTTCTAGAGTGTTAATATGTTTATTTCATCACCATTGTGATCCTTTCAAAGGGGTTGGCAGTGTAAACTTTTCAATCTTGTTGGCAAGTTACAAGTTACAGCATATACTTGGTGACTTGCAAGTTACAACATTTACTTGTAGTGTTTATGATTTTTTTTTATAAAAATTTTAACTGTAACGATTTTTTTTTGTTTTATTTTTTTATTTTTGTTCTTTTGATAACTTTATTTCTTTGGTCATGAGTCTGATTTATGTTTTATTCTTGCTAAAAGTAGGGCAAGCAAAAATTCGTGTCGTGTTCATATTTGATCTTGTGTTCATTTCGTATTGTTTACTAAATTTAACAAAAACTATGTAATTCTTTTTTAAATTAAACCTTTTGCTTTTGAGTAGGGTTGGCAAAATTCGATCATATCGTG